TATGTTGTATTCCTGAGAAAATAAAATTTGTTTACCAAAAAAAAAAAAAATTGTGCTATATGCTAGCCAAGAAGTCGCTCTCGGGTCAACTAAGGGCGCACTCTACCCGGGCAGTGGCGGCGTCCACAGCCTTCCTGCGAGGTGCATTGTTGGAAGATATCTGCAATGCAGCTACTTGGGCCACGTTTGTGAGGCATTATGCACACGATGTTCATCTTTATCAGCGTTCAATTGTGGGACAAGCGGTGTCACACCACCCGCCCTCCTTCCCCTCTGCCTTCGGTCCTTCCTTCCTTTCTTTGCAGACTGAGGGCAGCGGTGGGATTGTCGTGCCCCTCCCTTGGTCATGCGCAGTGGAGCCCGGCACGTGATCAGGGAGCGGGCACAAAAATTCCTTTTGCTTTCAATTATACCGATCAGGGTCAGCGCAGGCGCACTATATCCCAGAGGTGTGAATGCACAGATGACCACGCGAAGATCCTCAGTTACAGGTAAGCAACCTGTTTTTATTGTAGCTTCATATCTAGAACCTGTTTAATCAGATACATGACATAAATTCTTAGCCTGTATACTTACAGACATGGATCTAGAGTGGAATATTGTGAACAGTGGAGTTAAGGTAAGAGGTACAGTACAGGGCAGTTACCATTCACAACAGCCATATTGGTTTAAGACTGGGTTAATACAATAAAATCTCTTATTAAATTCTAATTCAATGAATTATTTATTCATCAGCTATGCAACAATAAATCTGTTAGTATTTGCGGTACTACAAAACTCCTTTGTATTTATAAGGGATGAGAGCAGTTGTAACACCCAGAAAAAAATACTGGATGTAGTAGAGTTGTCATCCTTTTCAATGAATTTATAGTATATATAATATATATTAAAAATCAAAGTAAATAATATCCCAGGAAACTGAAAGTTATTTTCCGCGAACTTAGGTTGGTACTGTTGATGGTAGTGGAGGAACATGGGCTGGGAGCTGACTGGAGAGTCATTGGCAGAAGACATGCTGGATCAGACACAGTGCAGCATAGAGCCCTTTTGCAAGCACCGATGTCCAGCTCCCTTTTAAAAAGTCATATAACTTTTAGCTATGATGTAGCTCAAGACGGGTAGCCATGTTTGTCTGTAGCAGTAGAAAAGAGTAAAAGTCCAATAGCACCTTAAAGACTAATAAAATTTATGGTAGGCTTTTGTGAGTCAGTGCTCACTTCTTCAGATACAGCTAGAATGTGAGTCCATCTGTCCTATATATTAGAAAGTGAAGTAATTTCAGATGCCAAATGACATAACCAGGCAAATGACAATAGCAGGTGTGATTGGATTAGGTGTGATATGCAGAGAGGTAGTAGGCATGGAGAAATCAGCATTAGTAATGAGACAGGAAATTTAGATCTCGATTCAGTCCTGGTGGGTGCATTGTCTTGAGCTTCGTTATAGTTGCAATTCAGCAGTCTCTCTTTCTAATTTCCCTTTGAAATTCCTTTGAAAGATAACTGCTACTTTTAGGTCAGCAACTGAATGTCCTTGAAGGTTAAAATGTTCCCCCACTGCCTTTTGAATGTTGTGGTTTCTGATGTCAGACTTATGTCCATTAATTCTTTGTTGAAGGGACTGGCCTGTTTGTCCAATGAAGAGAGTGGAAGGGCATTGCTGACATGTGATGGCATAAATCCCGTTAGAGGATGAGCAGCAGTAGGAACCTGAGATGGTATGGCTGAGGTTGCTGGGTCCACTGATGGTGTTGCTAGGATCTATATGAGAGCAAAGTTGGCATCTTGGTTTGTTGCAGGCCTTGGTACCAGAGTCCATGTTACTGGTAAGTAGCTTATAACATAAGAGACGCCAATGTTGGATCAGGCCAAAGGCCCATCCATTCCAACACTCTGCATCACACAGTGGCCAGAAATACCAGTGCCATCAGGAGGTCCACCAGTGGGGCCAGGACATTAGAAGCCCACCCACTGTTGACCCCCCCAGCACCAAGATGACAGAGCATCACTTGCCCCAGAGTCCCTATCTATACCTTGTGGCTAATAGCCACTGATGGACCTCTGCTCCATATGCTTATCTAATTCCCTTTTGAAGCCGTCCATGCTTGTAGCCACCACCACTTCCTGTGGTAGTGAATTCCATGTGTTAATCACTCTTTGGGTGAAGAAGTACTTCCTTTTATCCGTTCTAAGTTGTTTTAGGTTAGCAGGCTGGCTGTAAGCAAGAAAGGGTCGCCCCCCTCCCTCCCAGTGCCTGTGTGAAGGAACTGTCACTATCCAGCATTGGTTGTAGGTCATTAATAATGCCTTGAACTGGCTTGAGTTGTGAGCTGTAGGTGACCACCAGTGGTGTTCTGTAGTTGTTTTCTTTGGGCTTGTCTTGTAGCAAGCTGTTCCTAGGTATCATTCTGGCCTTTGCAATAATCTTTCTCACCATATCAGGAGGGTACTGTAGTTGCAAAAATGCCTGTTGCAGATCCTTCGAGTGAGTATCTCTGTCTGAGGGGTTGAAGCAGATGTGACTATATTATAGTATAGGGCTTGGCTATACACAGTGAATTGTTTGATGTGGTTGGGGTGGTAACTGGAGGCATGTAGATATGTTTGCCAACCTGTCGGTTTCTGGTATAATGTGGTACTTATATGTCCCTTGTGTATCTATATTGTGGTGTCCAGGAAGTTTATTTGTTGTGTAGAGTAATTCAGAGTTAGATTGATGGTGGGGTGGAAGTTGGGGAAAGCCTGGTGAAATCTCTCGAGGGCTTCTTTGCCATGGATCCAGACAATAAAAATGTCATCAGTGAATCTCAAGAAAAGGAGAGGTGCCAATGGGTAGGAGTTCAGAAAATGCTGTTCTAGATCCACCATGAAAATGTTGGCATACTGTGGAGCCATGTGGCTGCCCATGGCTGTGCATGCTTCTTTATTACCTCTCATTTATTAATTGAAGAAATTATATGGTCACAGGTCCTAGGTAGCTATTTCTAGGTTATGGGACCTGGAGAACTTGGTACTGACTGAGGTTAGACTGCTATCTTCATCATACCAAAGAATTTGTAATTTAGTAACTAAGTTTGCCTGAGTCTTAATTTTTCCCTCCTTTTTCCCCTCTCACAGGGCTGCCTTAAATAGACCATGAGCAGGTAATGCACCAGAGGCGCTATTGGGAATCATGTCGGACGAGTCAGTCTCAGGGAGTGATCCGGATGTGGACCCGGACTTGGAGCAGGAGGATATGGAAGAGGAGGAGGAGGAAGATGAGGATGAAGCAATGGAGGAGGACAATGATGGGGATGATGAGGAAGATCTACTTGATGAGAATGGTGAGTAATTGGCCAGGGAGCCGAAGAACATTTTGCTTTGTGTAATTACTGCAAAAGTTAAATTGGTGAATAAATCCTTTGATTTTATGCAAGAGGCAGATGTGCTCATTCTGGAATTTGTGTATGGAGCAGTACATTTGTACATTTTAGTCGGTAGGTGATATAATGAGTATCAGGTCCTAAGTTAATGGCTTGGGCTGCAGTAGCTAAATCAGGTACAGACACAATAAGCCGTGCAGAGCCGTTTATCTGTATACCTACTGGGGATGCCCCCTTTCTACCATTATATCTAGAGGAATACTGTGCAAAAAAGTGTGGTTCTTGCTTGTCTGGACATATTATGAGAATACCAGTTACACTTTTCCTATAAGGTTAATTGGACACTAGGCATGACTGAATGAACTCCGTGTAAAAAATAATAAATTCAGTGCCAAGAAAGCATACTTTCTTTTAATTGGTTTAATGCTATTTTCCAAAATTTATTCTGGGTTTGCTATTCAGTTGTAGAGCTATGAAGACCTTTGACCCCTCTCCACTACTGGGTATTTTATTTAGACACCCCGCTGGTTTCTGAGATTTTAGCAGGCATTGACTTTATGGCATTTATCTGCACACACAAGGGCTGGAATGATGATAAACACACACACACACCACCACAACCCAGGTATCCTGCCTTCTTTACCCTACATATTTTTAAAATAGCAATTTCCCTTCTTACTACTTTATGTGTGAGGTTTTCCCCTCCAGGGCTATGTCACAATCATACTGACAGTACTAGTTTTATGAGCTAGTGTGTGGGTCATTCACAAATTCTCTTTTAACTTTGAAAGAAAGAAATATTCCTTTGTGTTTATTGCCACTTGGGTTTTGTGGAAGCATCGTAGGATGTCAGAAGGAAAATTTGTTTGAAGCTAACTTCAAATTTTTTTATCCTTGAGTGAAACAAATAAAAGGAATGAAAAATTAATTACTATAGTTTCTCAACAGGTGTCGCAGGGACAATTAATTAATTCAGTGTTGAATTAGTGTATACCTATGTCCCAGTTGGAGGCAGCACTCCAAATAAACAAAAGGAAAAGATAATTCTTTGAATAGGGTAATTCTTTGTCCCCCGATAAGACAAAGAGCAGAAAATGGAATGGCAAGAATAGTAAAACAAGGCAGAATGTGAACAAAAGGTTTGTATACAATATATCAATAAAACCTTTGCACGCCTACTTGCAAAAGAACTGTTACCTATTGAGGAGAAACCTCTGGGGGAAAGAGACTGGCTAGCAGTAAGGTAAACAGAGGTGCTCAAGAAATGGAGAAAGTGAAACATCTGTTGCCTGGACCTGAGGAGGAAAAAAAAATCCAAGGAGTCCAGTCCAGGCAAGGAGATGAAGAATGGATCCAGGGATGAGGTGAGCTGTGGAGTTGGAGCAAAAAGCCTGGGATGCAGAACCAACTACAAGAGAGGATGCTGCTGTGCCCACCTGTAATATTAAACTAGATCTTTTTTCCAGGCTGTACTAGCATCCACGAGTGGAGGGTTCTTGGGGGGGGGGGAGCTCACAGGTATCAGACTTTTACTAAGGCCTGCTATTATTGAACTTAGTACTTCAACCTTTCCTGCTTCAAGGAGAAGCAAGGAGCGTTGTTCTATATCTTACATTGCCAAGAAGATACGTTCTTTTTTCCCCCCTAATGAGAGTTGGCTGAATTAAGTGGCAAATCCTGTTCCATGCTGTTCTTGAATGTTATCATTACTAGCAATTTATAATTCCATTTTAAATGAGGTCATAGAGAACGCTGTGCCCTTCAGAATTATCCTTTTTTATTCCTGGCCAAGATAATTCTCAATTGGTGACTCTTTGGAAAACATGGCAATATTTAAAGAGGATTCCTCCCACAGCAGAAGCACATCAGACTTGATTGCTGCTTAGATTGCACCCAAGTCTACATTATAAGTTCTTTGAAGCACTGTGTTGCATTTTTAGAGCTTAACTGGAGTCCAGAAAATGCCAGAATAAAACTCTAGTCTTCTTGTAGTCTGCCTTTGAGAAAGAAATCTTAATTTTTATATGGATTAAATGGTTAGAACAGAATGGAAGATTTGCGTTACGTTTTCTCTTTTTTAAAGAAGGGCTTGTTCAGTTTGTGAAATGTAGTCTAAATAGTAATTAGTTTGCATGATATAAGAGAGTTGCTGTTGAGAAGTGGGTAGTGTTCTTCAGTAAAATGAAGGATCAGTGTTCATTTTAGCTCTGGTAGGTACCTTCTGAATGTGTATAATGATTCCACATTCTCCTTTATGTGTCACATTTTAGATATCCAAAGCACTTCCATAATCTTACCAGTCCTTACAACAGCTACTGTTGTATTCCTGTATTGCAGACCGAGGACTGAGAGAAAAAGAGCTCACAAGGCCACCTAGTGAGTTTGAAATTAAGCAGGTAAAGCAATTTTTGGCTCGGAGATAAAATTATAGGGAAAAGCTTCTCTGCCAGGAATTGTTTCATCAGCTTAATTCCTGCATGTTGGGCAGTGTTAGAGGGTCAGGATCAGGCCCAGTAAAATTTTCAGCAACTCCAAACATAATTTTCCTGGCAGAAATATACAAATAAACAGTATAGCGTGTAATCCTCCTATAGTAAAGGTAAAGGTTTCCCTTGCTCGAAAGCTAGTTGAATCCGACTCTAGGGGGTGGTACTCATCTCTGTTTCCAAGCCAAAGAGCCAGCGCTGTCTGAAGACTTCTCTGTGGTCATGTGGCCAGCATGACTAAATGCTGAGGTGCACGGAATGCTGTTACCTCCCCACCAAAGTGGTACCTATTTATCTACTTGCAATTTCTTGCTTTTGAACTGCTAGGTTGGCGTAGCTTAGTACTATTTGTCTTTGTTCATGTGAATGTACTAAGTAGTGTCATAGTAAACAAGCTACATATTTAAGTATAATATTAGGCATTTTACAGTGTTTCTAGCATTTGAATTCTGTACAGTTGTGTTAAACTAACTCGGGTCCTTTATGATGAGGTCAAGTGAATGTGGAAAGACAAGCTGAAACTGAATCCAGAGATGACAGAAGTTACGTTGGTTAGCAAAGTTGATGTTTTAGAGGGGATGGACCCACCTTTTTTTAAATGGGCTAAAATTATAATTATCTGAGCATGTGAAGAGTTTGGAGTGCTCTTAGATGCTAATGTTTGAAAAACGGGTACAGAAAAATGGTTTCTCCAGTGCATTTTGTTATCTCTTCATCTGAGCTAGACACGCTGCCATAATCTCTCGAGCTAGATTACCAGAATGCATTCTATATGTCTTTGAAGAAAACTGGGCAGCAAGTGGAAAATGTGAATATGTGACCTCCTGTTTGCTGATTGGGAGAGAATGATAACACTGCTACTAAAACAATTACTTTGGCTGCCAATCTGCTTAAGGGTTCAATTCAAGATGTCCGTTGTTATCTTTAAAGATCTTCATATATCCAAAGGACCATCTTTCCTGATATAAACTCATGTGCCTGCTCAGGGTTTCACCGGTTTCTTTTTAATGATTCCCTCATCTTGTATAGTGTAGCTGGGTTTAATCAGAAGCCAGCATTTCCTAGCGGCTGCTCCCCTCTTGTGAAATAGTGTGCTTGATGCTGTGTGTCAGAATCTCTCCTTTCTGGCCTTCAGGAAAGCCTGTCTTTTCTTGGCAGTGAGTATTTTTCAATATCTAGAGTGTTGGATCAGTAAATGGTTGGATGTTCTCAAATTGGTTTTTGAAGCTCTGGATACCTGTTGGTGAATTATGATCATGGGCTGTTCAATTAAATTTTTGTCAGGTAATTCAATGAATTGTTCTAACGAGCTATATGCATAATCCTGCTGTTTTAATGTTTGCCATTAACTGTCCTGAGCCTATTGGGACAAAGAGTACATAATATTTTAAATAAATAAAGCAAAAATGTTTGAGATGTGAACAAAAGAGTAAATAAGGAAGTTCCTAAATCTATTGTAAGCCTCCTTGAGAAATAAGTTTGGATGAGAGTATGGGGCATAAATACTGAAAATAAAGAAGTACAGTAATCGAGGACCTGGAGGGAATTAGTAAATCCCACTGTAGGCTCATGGCTCTTTTGGTCTGGTTGTTCCGTTCTAGTGTAGTGATGATGTTTTTTAAAAAGCCTTTCTATGGATTTTGAGAACACTTTGTACTTGGACTGTGTGTTTCTGACTCTATCTGATATGGATGAGCTTGTGAACTTGCTTCCCTCACTCTGGTTAATTTGAGTTTATTGTGGCAGGGAGTATGTGGGATGGAAACAACTTAGTTAAATTTGAGGAAATACAGGAGAGTAATTTGAATTAAAGACCAAGATTATGTGGAGAACCCTTTCTTGGTTGTTCTTGGATTTTAACTACGGTAACTCTCTGAACTGTTACCTATTGTTACCTAAGAGATCATCATTGGAGTGGGGTATGACTTGAATGCTGATGTGGGAAGGAAGGACAAGAAAACTTTCCTCCCCTTCCCCCCCCCCCCAAGGTTTCACAGATGAACAACATTTTGGGCAAGATTCCTTTTTAAAATATAACCAATGCTTTATTTCGTATTCTCATGAACAGGAAAGTATCACACATCATGATTGTGTTTCTCCTGACTTGCCCCATCCTGTGCTTTCTGTGATAAATTTCTTTTTTGGAAAAAGTGGCACAGCTTCTGGCAGAGTCAAAACATTACATAACCTAGAGAAATGACTTGCATTACATCTTTAAATGCCAGTGTCAGTGAAGCCAAAGTCCCTTTCTTTCGGATCAGCTGAGTGGGCCTTGTTCTCTTAATGGTGGTAAAACTGCTTGCTTTTTCACTATAGTTGCCCCAGAGGATGGGATCTCAAGTAAAACTGCCATTTGGAGTACTCTGGACCACTGCCCTATTTGAAAAAAATACACCAGAAAATTTGGGTCATCCTTTTCCTCTACTACAGATATCATAGATGAAGTTTTGAGTTAAAAAGCTACACAAGTTCCCA